TGGCATACCCAAATATGGCAGCATTGGTTTTGCATGCGCTTTCTCGTCAACCAGCTACAGGAAAGCAGAATGTTACTTCCTGATGGCTGAAACCAAAGTGATACTGTGATTCAGGTCAAGTTTAGTGGTTTCATGATCCTGTTAGGAAGGAGATTGCGATGGTGGGCGCCCAGCGAAAAAATCGCACAATGACATGCTGAAGACGAATGCGTTTCTCAAGAAGTACGCGTATGAGAACGCTGGTATAATATTTCATGACTCCCTGCGTTCAACTCAACTTTCGGGGCTCCATGACTGTCTTGGGCAGCCGCTTGTCAAAGAAACTCCGGTCGGGAACGGCGCATATCCATAATCATCATGAAACGTATTTTTGCGATTCTGTAGCTACTCAGATCGATGGAGAATCTCGTATCTATCTCAGAGTTGGAGTTCAAAGCCCCTTGCGGCAGATCTTGGAGTCAGTCCATGATTGGGCAGTGTGCAGGGGTGCAGCAAGCAACATTCATCATGACACCTGAATGGAGCGGCAGCCTGCAGTGCTTATGTCCAGATTACAAATTCCGACATGGTACTTGGTTTTTTGAATAAAAAGAAGCAAGAAGACCTGTTGTCAATACCTTGTTAAGCTCTCGCGGTGACTCTGTTTCCCCACGCCAGGAATGGGTACTAAAGAAAACTGGAAGAAAAATGCATCCAACGAAGCATCGAGCCCATCGGCACGAAAAAATAGCACTCTTGCTAAATTGTGTTCATCCAATCATTTATTCTTTGTACTTGGAGAAGCCAGCTGCAGGCTATATCCCCGGAAGTGCCGTGTGTCCCCAGGGGATCGATGGGCCCAGTTGACTGTGCAGTAGTTCCTCGCATGACCCAACACAGTTGATGCCTCGTCCCTTCTTCACCTTAATTCAACTCAACAACCTAGCCAAATGAATTCACACATTTTTCGCGGGCTAGGGGCGGAGTTAATTGCTTTCGCTGCACATTCGAAGTGCTCGAAGCTCGGGCTGCACTTCTGCACCGCTTATTAGAGAGTTGTTACGCACGGCTGCTCTTCCATTGAACCTTTTCATGCTTCATTTTGGCTGATGCAAGAAGAATGCAAAGTGTTGGAGCTGCCTCTCAGTGTGGCGATCCGGTTTCGAATTGTTCCACGCTTGCCAATGACACTTTCTCTCACCAATTAGCACAGGTCCACTACCTCCTGCAGGCAATGAAGGTTTATTTAGCGTTGTGGGTGCTCCTGCGAAAATCCGTAATCATCGAGACCCAGAGCAAGCGAGTTATTTCTTTTGACGATTGATTCCAGCGCGACGCCGCCCTTCACTACGACACTGATGTGAGGCAGTGCTGCACTTCCGATCTATGTAGCTGAGGAATGCGGCATTAACGTGACGCATTAACGCTTGCATTTGTAGTATTCTTGCGCGCGCTATTACATCGTTGGTGCTGTTCCATTATGTTTTGACGACGCCTACACGACACGAAAGTGTTGTCTGCTCCGCGCTCTTGGCATCTTCCACAATTAGTAATTCGCTCCTGCTGAGACTGCCTTTTTGAACACCTTACGGTGATAGGCCACTTGCAGACTGCAGGAAAGGTGCACAGTACGTCATGTTCAGATGGCTACTTTTGCTAGGCATGACTGGGGCAAACGTGTCTAGTAGAACTAGACGGGCGGCAGCCCCGGCGCTGGTAGGCCTAATTCCGGAAGAAGTATCTTGTAGAATCGAGCGGAACGGCGAGCTCAGTGCTACAGTACGAGCTCCTGCTACTGCTGTTGCTGAATTTCGCAGTGCATACAAACACCCACTGAAGCTGAGGCAATCATATCTGAAGACTTATGAACGAAGTCGTTCTACAAGTTCAACGCAATTCGCAAAATACATCCAACAGGAAAGTGTAAATTCCTCGTTAACTCGTCGCATCGCCTATAGGGCGGCGCAAGCTGCATGCAGAGCCGGGATGCTGCTAAGGAAGCCGACACAGTA